TGATAGATTTCGGGCTTCAGCTGGGCGATCTCGGTTAATATCGACTCTCTTCATGAAGGATCGTAGTTCTGATACACGCGGTGTGCGTCTTGGCATTCTATACGTCTGGATCATTGGGGACAGCGGGTAGGTCGAACCCGAAAGTTATCCGTACAGCGTACTCGTGCTCTGTGCCATCGAATGAATATACGGTAGTGTCATGGCTCTTGTGTACCGAGATTCCTTCCCTGTCTGTCCTTCCGGTCGTCGGATTGTGGTTCGGATGGGAGGAGCCGATTCGAAGGTGTCGCGGGGCGAAAGTGGGAGCTAGAGTCCGTACGTGAATGCTCTATCATGACAACTGCATGTAGCACTCCTGTGCGAACGTGATTCAGCTAGTTCGCGTCCATCTCAGTACCTTCGCGCTCCTTCCCTCGATGCGCGCGTTCTGAAGGCAAGCGAGGGCGCGACGTCGCGCTGAAGCAAGTCTTGAGACGCAAAAAATACACTGGTAACTTACGCGCGATAACTTCACACACATATACCGTGATCTCCAGGCAGCGACGTTGTTGATGGGGTGGATGAAGCAAACCGCGTTCCGAAGATTCGCCAACGTCTCATCCAGGCTTCCCGAACCTCTTAGCGCGGATCCACTCAACGGCCCTCCGCGCCTCACAAGGTTAGCGAGCCATCGCCACGATCGCGAGGCTGCACGGCAACCACTTCGGAAGGGTCTTCACCTTCTATCCAGGGGTGACCATCATGCAGTCTCGTCTCGATGCACGGGCAGATATGGCGGCTCCCGCTACGGAGGCTTGACACCTGTCAGGCAGCGAGCGCTTGAAGCGAAGAACTGCATAGCATGACGGGTAGGACTCAGGCTGTATATAAGGCACAATGCCTTGCGCTGCATGGAAGAGCATCATCAGCATCCATCTCAGCAAGTCTTTCATTCATCGTCCTTCGAGTCGTTCATTCTATTACCTTCTTTTCATCGTTCCTGGAGAATCGATAGGCCGGTCCACTTTCGCTATATACCCTACTTAGACCCTATTCTTGTTTATTTTTTACGATTACGACCGCAAGGAACGATATCGATATTCATCATGAAGAACTCTCTCATTGCTCTTACCCTCATCGGTGCCGCGGCTGCCCGCCCGGCTACCCTCAAGACCAAGCGTGAGGTTCCCCAGGAACACGCTCACCGCAACGTCATCATCGCCGTCAACGATCTGCTGTTCCAGAACAACCCCGACGACATTCAGGATGGTGTCTTTGCCCTCCTCGGAGCTGCTGCCGCCGCTGATGGTGCTGGAGACATCGCTGATGCCGGTAAGTCGACTGGGATTCATTACGCATCTTCATCAAGCTAATCATCTGTAGACTGCCTCCAGCAAGCCGTAGCTGACCAGGCCTTCACCAATGCCAAGGAGGCTGGTGATGTCGAGGGTATGACCATGGCTCTCATCTACCGTGCTCTGGAACGAAACACTGGCTCTGTCGGCCTTGCTTCCGTTCCCTGCGAGTCTATCCAGGCCGTCAACCCTGAGATCGCTGCGCTCCAGCAGCACCAGGATCCTGCCAGCGAGGGAGCTGCAGAGCTCAACAAGCAGATCGCTGAAGAGCTTGCTCGCCAGATTGCCGCTGTCGGTGGAGACCCATTGATGGCCAACGAGGCTTCGACTTTCGCCCCTGGCGAGATCGGCGACCCAACCGGTGCCGGCAACACTTGCGACGACGAGAACGATGATGCGGGATGCATCAACACCCAGAACCTTCGTGTCGATGACCTCACTGAAGATGAGATCGCCGCTGCGGTCGCTGGTGTCAGTGGAGCTGCCGCTGGCAACAGCACTGCCGCCGCTGGTAACGCTACCGACAACGCTGCTGCCAACGTCGGTAACGCCAACAACAATGCCAATGCCGGCAACAACAACGCCGCTGCTGGTAACGCTGCCGCTGGCAACAGCGCTGCTTCTGGTAACAACGCCGCCGCTGGCAACAACGCTGCTGCCGGTAACGCTGCTTCTGCCGGCGGTGCCGCCTCCTTCGGCGGCTGCGACCCTACCATCACCTTTGGTCTTCCTTCCGACGGCCGCCAGGAGGAGGCCTTCGAGCCCACTGATCTCGCCACTTTCAACCACGGCTCAGCTCAGAAGATTGACATCATCTCCCAGTTCATCTGCTCCCAGATGTCCAACAAGTGCGATGTAGACGCTGCGGCGGTCAGCACCTGCGATGATGCTGCCGCTGCCGCTTCGGGCCTTACAGGCCAGGCTGCTGCTGATGCTTTCAACTCTGGTCTCGGTTTGTAGACGCAAGATGTACTAGATGGATAGAAGGTGGAGGAGCAATGTAACACTAGATGATGAGATAGTTTAGATTTCTACTATAGGGGATTTTTTGTATGTTTGGATAGAATTGAGATATTACCATGCACTCTATCATGTCCTTGTTTCAGAGTTGCCCTCTTTGATTGATGTCTATGTGTGGAAGAGAATAGACCCAAGCATGATGATTAATAAGACAATCTTGACAACGATTGGTATAGAGACCACACCAAGCACGCATATCATCGACGGGGGGTATCACTATAACATTGATATATTCGATATCAAGCTAGAGAACGCTACATTCTTATGTATGGCATTTCCTGAGGATCAATCCGCGGGAAACCTTCTCGTATGTACAAAGGCGATGAGCTGCAACACAGTCTTGCTTGTATACTTATAATATGTGACCCAGACAACTGATTGCGATCTGTGCGTCTCGTTAAGCAACACGGAGATTGCACTGCCTGCTCCTGGAACTCATTTTGATATCTTCTCAAACGCAGCCTACGTTGCCAGTTTCTCGGGTAATGCGTATCATATTCGTGAGCGCCAGGAGTCCTACAAAGGCGCGTCAGCAGCAGAGCGTCTGGCACTGATAGGTGTGTTGTGCGCGTCGCGAAGTGTGTCCTCATTACCCGATGAGCTAATACATTTTCGATGATCGCCTGATCTGCTGGAAGCGAGCGTGGGCTTCGAAGCTGTTCACGAGAACAAGAAGCCCCCGCACTACTGACTATCGAAGGTATTTAATGCCCATAGTACAGCCACTGGTATTCCTGGAACGGGCTGCGTTATAGGCCTCGTGCTGTGTTGAGCGGCTCGAATCCACTCTAAGACCCTCATGGTGCTCGGCAGTGTTAAAGCCAGCGAAAGTCAACCAATGAAAACTCGAAGCCCAAGACGGCTGGTCGACTGGACTTCCAAATCGAGCGAGACACGTGCATTTCGGGACAGCCAGATATTGGTGGGTGTGATGAGCTGCCGATCCAGACCCTTTTCGCAGTCAAGCGCGTGAAGCACAACGTTTCGGCACTCCAAGTCCTGAAGGACGGGCTGGGGCGCAAAAAAGGGTCGCGCTTGTTAACGTCTATGCAGATGTGTATGCCAGCAGGAGGGGAAATTTGGATGGATGAAAGACAGGTGTTCACTGGGACTACTCTAGCCAAACGAATGGAGCTGATGGCTAAAGCATTGACTACAGTACGTGGTACAGCGAGGTAGTAATGACTCGCGTTGTTGTTGTGTTGTAAAGCAATGGCCATGGCTCCACTGTGGAGAAGAGGGTTGGAGTCGTAGCGAATTGGGGTCTCCAGTGTGCCTTAGCCGTGTGCGTAGTGCACAGGTGGCAGGAATCTGCTCGCCGTCACTCATTCATGTCGACGAAGCGGCAGAAGAAGTGGATGAGATGGAGCGGGGAGGGAAAAGCAAAAGACAACGGGGAGGGACCGTTATGCATGCCGCGAACCCGCTTGCAAGCTTGCAGCATGTTGGCAGCGGGCGACTGGATGAAAAGTCGTGACAGGTGTTCGTGCTTGCAGAAAAACAAGGACTCTATGCAGGGGCCGTCGAAAGGATGCGCCACGATCAAGGTATGATTGCACGGGCCATGGTGCCTCGAAAGCGGTTAGGCTGGGAGAGTGAGCGCGTCGAGACGCGTCAGTTTCGCAATCGACCGTCTGCGACAACAGCTTCACGTGGTGCGTGGGATGACAAGAGTCGGAATGCGATGCAAAAAGACGCAGAGCATCGCATCACGCCTCATGCGAGCAAATTGCGCAAAGTGTTGGATGCGGAGTGTTTGATTTTGTATGGGGCTCGGGGCACTTGGTGGGTTTGCAGAGGTTCTATCGACGATCTTGGCCTAAGCCCGTCCGCTGTCTCGCACTAGCCGGGCAGCAACCGTCAGCCGACTTTTGCGAACCTCACCGCACATCACCTTCACCATCACGACTTTCACGATAATCCCGAGCCGACTCTCGCTCGTCGCACTCCCGTGCGCTCCACGCGACTCCCTGACGACCGTTTCCTTACGTCTTTTACGAATCTTGTCTTTCGCTTGCGCTTTCCTTGGACGCGGTATCAGGTGTCCAATCCGCTTCCGCCCACGCTCCCGCTCCTCTCATCGCGACCCACGACTCCCATATTTCGCCAACACCCGCCATCGCCACCCTTCACGATAATTCACGCGTTCTCTGACGCATCTTTGGACCTTTGCGCATCGTCTTCGACTATTGCTAATCGCGCATCCGCCCGTTGACAGCTGTTTGTCGCGACGTGAAGCTACGCGCCATCGTCGCCGACAAGAGCACTCGCGCATTCTTCGTGTCGACAGAGCTTCTGCGACACTGAAAACGCTCGTTGCCACTACTTCCGATAGTGCGCGACATCTTGCGACAGTACGCCCGCTTTATCAAGGCGCAGCCGTCCTGCTTGCACGTGTAACCAACCTGCAGCCGCACAGTCGCGTTCGCAGAGTACCAAACACCTGCCTGCTGGGTCCCGAGACCTATCACCACCGCCCTGCATAATCAAGCCACATCGACAGCAACCGGAACACCCTCAGACCGGATGCATTGATCGTTTGTCGTGTTTTAACTGCCGTTCCTCCTTGCAGTGTCTTTGAAGTCGACCTGTTGTTGTGGTCAAAGACAATCGTATCCTGAAACACGACATCGGAACGTCAGCAACATGGACGCCGAACGCCCCAACCTATCTACTACCCTACCCAGGAACTTCATGTTCCATTACCGTGACGGCCCGGCTCCACAGACTCCCGAGCCAGAGCCGCAACTAGAGCAGATGCAACCGCCGCCGCCGCCCCGACAGGTGCTCAAGGTGCGTCGCCGCCGTGCCACCCTCGTCATGAACAACGACGACATGGACGCTGTCATGGACCAACGACCCATCCCTACAATTGAGGCTCCCGAAGTCATGTCGGAAACCTCCAACCTGCTACCACCCTACTCACTACCTCAGAACGACGCATTCTTGTCTCCAGGGTTCAGCTTCCCTCGTATGCTTTCCCCACCCAAGACTCCCGCTGCCCAAGTGCGAACAATCAGCCACTACGAGGGAACTCAGGACTGGTCCGACGTCCCACATGTCAGCCAGAGTGAAACATCTAGCAGACCCACCTCATCGTCGGGCTTCTCAGACTCATCCGTCTCGTCCTGCGATAGCATTGGCTCCTTCATGTCCAGAGGCGGCAGCTGCACAAGCCCCGAAGATGAATCATCAGACCCTTTCACCTTCTACCCGCCCACAAACAAAGCCCAACGACCAAGCTCACCTTCGATGGGTACCCAACAGTCTCGCTCTGCAACAAAGCTGAAGTTGCGAGCCACCTTCAGCGAGGAGATGGATCACCACTTGTGGATGACTTATATGAAGTACCTGCAGGACCCTACAGTGACACCCTTCAAAGCCCTTCCGAGCACTACACCACCGAATGGAGTATGCCATCGTGTAGCGAGAATGGCTCGCAAGACATGGAAGGGTCCGAAGTCTTCTCGCGCTGGTGCTCCCAACGCGACCCCACAACACGGTTTCCTTGCCGGTACACCAGGTACAATGAGGCCGATCAGGAGTGGCACCAACACACCTGTAGCTAGGCCGATCAAGTCCACTATGCGCTACCCCAGTGAGAAGCAATGCCGCAAGCGCTTACGAGACTTGGCCAAACAGAAGCCGTCGCTCTCTGCACACTATCAGCGTATGCTTCGTCGATCGCCCTCGCCGCTGCAATCCTCTCCTCCACCTGAGCCCGAGCCACAACCGCGTCAACAGCAACAACAACCACAGCAGCAGCCGCTGTCTTCGCCATTCTCGCAAGGCTCTACTTCCTTTTCCACAAGAGACATGAACTTGTCGCTGGCCACAAGCACTGCTACGTCGATGCAGTTGGGCAACCCACTGTCGCAGCTTGCCAACGATATCACACCACGACCGGCACCCCGAACATGGTCGAGCGCGCGTTCTTCTGCTCACCAGAAGTCACAATCGCTTCATATCGGCCTCGGACTAGGCAACATGCTAGGCTCACCCTTCCGTGCCAGGAACGAGTCAAGCAACAGCAACACGAACCAGAGCAATGCTCGAACATGGCATGCGCCGTCGTCTGCTGGCCACACCCCACGTCTTGGCTCACCTTTCCAACTGCATGCGCCGCGACCCAAGTCAAGAGTCTTCAAGCGTCGGGCGCTCCATAACAGCTTCGAAGATAGGGCGCGAAACCGCGGAGACAGCTTCGTCAACGAGATCTTTGGAGCTCCAGCTGAATCGAGTCATCGTCGCGTAAGAAGCCGTGGCTTCAGCTTGGGTGACATGATGGAAGGTGCCCGACGACTGCCGTTGATCAACGACCCGTTAGGGTTGAACCCTTTCGCACAAAGCGGTTCTGCTATGCCTAGCCCGGCACCAACATCCCCTGCCGTGCCAATGGAGGCCCAGAACAAAGGTACCGTCCGCTTGGGCTCACCGTTCGTTGGTCGATCGAGCAATACCTTCCCTCGAGCGAATGTTTCTCATAGCTTCGAGCCGCCAGCATCGTTCGAGGAGCGTTTTGCCGGAACACCTCGCGACTCAGCATACCTGTACCGATCTTAGAGCTCGATGGTCTTGTCTTCTGCTTCATCATTGCACTTGAGCATGACTGCATCATCGGCGTTACGACCGACGGCCTCAAACGCCGTCATTGCATATACTTGCCATTTGGCCCACGGGCTTACTTACTCCTGCTTCCCTGAAAAGCATTTCCTTTGTTTGTCTATACCAGCTTCCACCTTCTTCACCGACAGCCTTTCGCCGTCGATGGTGTGTACCTCCGGCGGGGTCGGCAGACCTTCGCACCTTAGCTTCTTGTCTATGTTCTTGGCCTTTAGTTCTTGGACATGGCATGTGGCTACATGTGTCTTCGAACAACTTCAGTAATTCGAGTGTGGGAGGGCGGGGCCAAGTGTAGTTCAGTCTGACACACCTTAGCACCGGAAGGGTGTCCAGACAACTACCCCAGTCTTCCCAGCTCTTTTGTGTATTCCGGCACTTTTGCTTGTCTACAACGTCCTCTCTTTTTCAGCCCACGACATGGTGCGGCTTCTTGTTTCCTTGTGTTCATGTCTTCTTCTTCTATCACGACGGACATGATGAACGTTACGAAGTGTGTGTGGGATATCGGCGTCCCTTGGTATGGAGTCTTCACGAATCTCAACGACTGTATCGAAGCGTGAACGACTGATACCTAATCTCTTGTCTATCGGCGGCATCGGCTTCGATATCGATTTTAGTCCGAAAGGTTGGATCGGCTGGACGGGTGATATTGGCGAGAACGATCGTTCGAACGAGAGCCTGTACACTTGGATAGATCAGCTGGTCCTTTCTGAAGGGATGAAATGCGTCGAGCAGATGAGCTAGTAATGAATGAAATGGATGAATCTAAATGACCAAATGCAAAGAGTGTGAAGAAGAGACTGAGCGTTCCACATAAGCCCCTCCTCGTGCACTGATCTCCGCACCGCCGTGCCGTAAGTAGTTCCGTAACATGAGCACAGGCGTCATCATGTCTGGTCTGTGCCAATTGCCAATGATCCATGGTAGGCACCTAGCCCTAAGCCACGACACGATGGATCCCCCTGCTGGTGCCCTTTGATCAAAGGCGACAATTGTTTCAATACCCGGTATAGAACAAGAAGCCAATAAGTCCTGCACATCTTCTGTGTAAATGAAGCTTGACCGGCGAAGACAAGCCTGCTTACGATGTTCCGGCGAGAAAAAATAAAACATGCAGCAAGTGGATGCACCAGCCCACATCACCAACCCCGAAGTTGAAGGTTCGCGGCCGCACGCGTCGATTAGCCCAGGCATTACGCCGAGGCCTGACGTTTTCCTCGCTGCCGTCACTGTCCGGCCAGTCATAGCGCGCGAGCATAAGCCGTAGTATCCACTTGGGCTTATTGTGTGGAGAGGGGTGATGGAATTGTGTCGCACGTCGCGTGCCAAGTCTAGCCAGCCGTGCCCGGTTGTCTGGTGCGACGCGTGCAAAGTTGATCATGTGCTACCGCGAACGCGTGAGACGTGTCAAAAGACGTGTCGACTGCGTAATTGTTGGACCGCATGCGGTAAAGACGCGGTTTGGCATACAGAGGGGCACCCTGAGAAGCATGACAAGCGCGCGTTGGTGATTCATCTAGTGCAGCGGCTGAGTTGCTTCTGGCTGTTTGGGATAAGCCCTTTGGCCATTGTATTGGCTTGGATTGGGTGCGGATGCTCATGCGCGTGCCGGTGAGTATGTATAGTAAGACGCAGGTTTTACTATACTGAACGCGTATATAGAAAGCGGCCTCGCTTGCATTGCTGAGTGAGCCTGTCTGTGATCGTCGGGTCGCGCGCCATGTTTATTCCCCTCACCATTCAGCCCAACCAAAGAAACTCTCCGTTGGCTGTTCCAGCCTTTCGTGCTTCATTCGCGGCCTCGCGACACCATAACACGATACTGACGACACGCGTTGAAAGACATGAGCCGTGGTAGGTTTCACGTTGAGGGGGCGGGGTGTGTGTGGAGACGGCGCACGGGGAAGGTTCGACGGCTGATAATGGGCTGAGGTGTATTGTCGTCATTTTCAATATTTCCACGGCAACTCAGGCACGCCTAAAGCGACGGACCGCGGACGCAATATCGAAGACTCAGCTAGATCTTACGATCTTCTTGCGGGTAGCTATCTATTCATGAAAACGCTTTCGTCGCTCCATACGTTTGCGGTCGTTCGATGTCATTAGGCTCGCCTTCGGGTCCGGTTCCGCTGTCTCGAACCTGGGAAAGCTTTCATTGATAGGAAAGTTCCTTTTGCAGTCGTATCGGCTGACGGACTGATTACTCACTTGCTTAGGGGATCAGCGTTAGAGACTCCTCTGGGTCGAGCTCATCAGACCCCGGGACCCTTCAATTACGCGGCACCTACCAAAGTTCTCGCGTCAGACAGACAGCAGTATCATGTTCCATCTATACTTCGCCTTACATCAGCGCCATGAACTATGAGAGGGACAGCTATCGGGTGTCTTCTTATCGTTTCCGACATGCCCATGCTGGATTCCACCGAATACACATCCTTGGATGAGTTGGGCGAAGAGTTCAAAAGGAACGTCCTTGAATATCTCCCGCACAACCCATCCTAGCAATTGCGCAGTCAACCGAATCCACCACTCACGGAGCCAAACACAGGCACGCGTACTGATATGGCTCTCCGAAAGAAAGAACATTGTCGTCGCCAGTCATCGACCACTTCATCACGTTCGCCTCGATCTTTGATGAGGTTTATCTTTGTTGTATTATTCTAAGTCTATGTGATTGAACCGAGGTAGCGCCAAACGAAAGAGAAAAGATTAGACAGTACAGTAACGTATCGCAAACGCCTAGCCATGGGGTATAGCAGCCAACGATGCAGGTGAGAACAAAAGAAACACTAAGATATACAATCCATCGTCCAGCTTCTATGGCGACACATCGCTACCGTTCCTCAAGTGCATCTTGTTCATGTCGCCATTCTGCTGCGGCATCTGTGCCAACCAGCTCGGTGGCGCCATACCAGTCTGGTCATGAATAGTGCTGAGCAGAGGTGGCAGGCTCTGGAAGAGGTTGCGAATAGGTGCCGATGGGTCCGCCATACCCTCGGCTCCCTGACTGCCAGTGTTCCAGACGTTGATCTTAGGCTGGAGGCCCTTGATGGCAGCGCCGTTCGCATTCGCAAGCTTCTCGTAGGTTCCGTTGGTGATCATGAGGTATTGCATGAGACCCTGAGGACCACCGAGAACAGCGGCCATATCGCCGTATGCCTTGGCCATTGCAGAGAGACCTTCGGCTTCGCGTTGATGGGTGATGAGGTGGGCTTGGGCGGCGCGTTCCTGGGCGAAGTACTCGGCTTCAGCGCGACGCTTGGTGGCCTCGAAGTCGGCCTCAGCAGCACGTAGGCTGCGGAAAGCATCGGCCTCAGCTTCGGCTTGCTGACTGTACTTGTGTCCGTCGGCGGACTTCTCCTGAGTGTACAGCTCTGCGTCAGCCTGCTGCTGCGCACTCTCCTTCTCGATCTTCGCCTGTACGACTTTGGTAGCACGGAGACGTTCAAGCTCCATGAGTGCCCTCTTCTTCTCGACCTCCATCTGGAGCTCGGCATCGCGTCGTTCGGCCTCGCGCTTGGCGTTGATGCGAGCTACGTTGAGGTCACGACCGATCTCAATCTCCTTGTCGGTGAACTTGGCATCTGCTGTAGCCTTCTCGGCTTTACGCTCGGTCTCGAGGACAGCAGTCTGGGCGTGGATCTTGGCGACTTCCTGCTTGGTCTTTCCTTGCTTCTCTGCTTCTCCAACCTCACCTTGCATACGAGCGTGAGCAACATCGACCTTAGCTTGGTTTAGTGCGCCCTCGTGTGCCTTGCGAGAGAGGAAGGCGAAGTACTCCGAGCCTGGAGTGTCTTGTAGCTCCTTCACGTTGGCGTTGTAGATGCAAAGACCAAACTGGTCAAGTTCGGATTGAACTTGCTGGATAACTATCCAATGTCAGTGCATGTTTCGCATTAGCAGCTGTTCAGACGTACCTTTGTCCTTGAAAATCTTTCGTTCGCGGAACAGCTCTTCCATAGTCATGGTAGAGACAATGCTTCGTGTCTCGCCCTCAATAATACCCTTAACAATCTCTTGGACATGGTTGCGACCCTCAGCAACCGAGACGACCCCCTTGGCCGCAGTTTGGGTAGGGCTTCCGTCGCTCTCGCCAGTGAGTAGTACGGCGTATTTCTCAAGTGCTTCGGGGCTATCCGCGGGACCGATGGTGAATACGGCTGGTAGGGCAAACTTAAGCTTCTCAATAGTCATAGCCTGGAGGGCCATGGAGAAGTCAAAAGGTGTGATGGAGATCTTGGAAACCTTCTGTAGAGGGTATACGAAAGCCTTCTTCTTAATCAAGACCTTCTCAATTCCTACACCCGTGATAACGAGGTAGGAATTGGGCTCGGCTACGTGGTACCACATGTTGATGGTTGAGGTGTACAAGGTGTTGGAAGTACAATTCAAAATCTCGAGGTTGATGTAGGCGTCTGGGTCCGGTATGCAGTGTTACTTGAAGGCGTTCGAGTTGTATGTATTCGGAAAGATGCGTGGGATTATGGACGGTTTATATAATGAGTGGTAATGTGCTCAAAGGACAAGGAGGTATCAACCAAAGTTGGGGGCGCTTCAAAGGATAATGCGCAGTATGCGGCTGAGCTAACGGCGACCATGGTTACTCTTATATGTATCACGAGAGTTTTCCCAAGATGTTTCTTTATCCGCAACTCCGGCATGAGTGACACTCTCGGTGAGCCTCTTCGTGCTGGTGTTGGTGGAGATTACAGCATATTGTGCACGGTTCATTCCACTAGTCTGAGAAGGGAGTAGTGCGGCGGAGCGCGAGTGTGCCTTGCGCCTCACAGCCACCCATGTGCCTTGGGCCTGAAGACACGCTTTATCTCGCAAGAGTATGGTTCTCGCGCGGTGAGCAGAATAGACAGCTTTACGAAGTGCGCAGCCGCCGTTCAACTATGTTTCAAACCCCTCAAAGAGAAGGGCCGGTAAGGCGATCT